GGGGGGGGGGGGGGGGGGGGGTCAGCCCCTTATCGACCTTTCATTATGATTGTTATACATTATAATGTAATGTTATATACTGGTACAGTAAGGTACTACAGTACTTTATACTGTTTTATTAAAAGTATACCAAATGAAAGTAAAAACTTTTTACAAGTTGTAAGTATCAAACGGTCACTGAATTCACTTGACTATCATTATTGCAAACAAGACACTCAAATGTTACACTGATTTATAAAATACAAATAATTTGTGGTTAAAGTCTTAGATTTTTATCGTATTTATTGATATTAAGTGTAAATTGTGAACAAATATTTTGTTGACAATCTTTGACACGAATTCTCGCACTAAGAATGAGTTCCCACAACAAGAAGAATTCCTCGATTCCTATCATTGGTTTCATAGTCCATAGACTGAAACTGTTGGGCAAAACAAAGCTCTTCGCGAATGAAAGCGTGGATCAGATGTTGGAGAAGACGACGAAAAAGGACGAGAAGAAGAAGTTTAATCTAAACCTCAAACCACAGGTCAACCTCTCGAAACCACTCAACATCATCGGACACATGATGTTGTGGTATAACATACCGGTGCTGATCGGCATCACACTGTCGCTCGTGTTTGGCTACTACTTTGAGACGTACGTCCGGTTCGTCGACTATATGGACGTGAATATAATTCTGCGGATGGTGTTCTTCATGGTAGGCCTGTTGCCATTGGTCGGTATCATAGCGTTGGTGGCGCTCATCCGCACTCTCGAGGAGGAGTACGACATCGCCGGCGACGGAACCCATTTGCTGAACGCCACGGACTTGCCTGCGGTGGCCGACAGCCTGGACTGGAGTGAGGCGGGCCCGGAGGTGGAGGGCGCCGACTGGATCCGCGATCTGCTGGAGCAGCTCTGGTCTAATATCAACGTATATGCCATACGAATGGTGAGCGAGTTTTTGCCGAACTGTTCGCTGGAACCGGTGTTGGGACCCATCAATCAATTGGCGAAATTCGAGATTAAGAAACTATTTCTCGGGGAAAGGGTTCCCACAATCACTGGCATTCATGTCTTGGGTCGCGGTGTCCGCAGAGAGGATCTCATCATTGATTGCGAATTCACTTTTGACTCGGATTTGGAGATAGAAATCACAGGTTTTCTGGTTATAAACTGTTTTCTCGAAAGTTTTTATATGAAAATGATGTCTACTTTTCAGGCAATTATTACATCGATTTAGGCATCAAATGGTTTTACTTCAAGTGTAAGACGCGACTCCTGTTTACGCCGCTGTTTCGCGAGTTGCCGATTGTGGGCACCGTTCAGATATCCTTCTTGGAGACGCCGCTCATCAACTGGCGGTTCACCGGTTTGTTGGCGATTCTCAACTGGGATTTCCTCAAGAGTTGCGTTCAGTGTATTATATCCTACTTCTTGGGAAACCCGCACTACTTCTCGTTGAATTTGGCCAAAATCGCGCCCAAACGCGAGATGAAGTTAAGGGAACCGATAGGACTGCTGCGCGTGGAAGTCATGTCCGCCAAATACATCGTCCGCACGAGTGGCAAGAATATGTTGGGACAGTCGTCGGACCCCTACTGTCGCGTGGAGGTCGAGGAGCAGACCATGTCTACGAATATCGCCCGAAGCGACTCCAACCCCTACTGGAATCAAGAGTTCTGTTTTCTGGTCCACAACTCGATCGTCAACTCCATTGTCTTCTCGGTGTTGGACGAAGACATGATCGAAGACCAGCTGATCGGCCGCTTCTCCATACCGATCAAGGATTTCATCGATTACAAGGAACTCAACGGTCGCGAAGTTACCGTTCCGTTGACACGAGTGGGTGTTCGCCCGGAGCCCATCAAGAAAAGGTCGCCGCGACTCTCATTTAGGGTCAGTTGGTTTAAACTGACGCAAGACATCGATCTGTTGAACATAAACCTCCGACTCTCAAGAACTCAACTCCCGGTGGCGGCCCTATCAGTGCTCATCGACTCGGCCACCGGTCTGGACACGTGCACGGGTCAGGTGCGGAGCCCAGAGTTGCGACCGATGGTGAAGATCAGTGTCGGCAATCAGGTCCGCTTCACGACCTGTAAACGGCGTACGGGGGGTCCGGTGTGGGAGGAGTCGCATCACTTCATACTCTATAACCCCATTTGGGAGACCATTCATATCGAAGTGATGGACATGTATTGGGTTGAAGAGAAACAGTTGCTGCCATTTGTGCCGATCTCTGTAAGCACTTTCGGGTCCATTGCTGACCACATGGGTCTGTCCGATAAGGGAACGGTGTTGGGCTCGTATGAGATACCGACCAATGATGTGCTAAAAGCGTATAAAATGAAGATTGAGGGCACCTATAGGTTGAACGGTTATGTGGAGAACGGATACATAAGACTCCTGACGACCATCAGAATCGCTGACTTCGAGACTCATGTCAATGAAAATGTGAGGAAACCGAGGGTTGTGTTGACGGAACTTATGAGTGGTGTCCAGCAATCCATTCAATTAGAGATCCAAACCAAAAAGACTCCGACAGTATCCGTGGCGAGTGATACCATGAGTACTAAGATAGTGGCATCAGGAGTGGGAACAAGTGATTCACAAAAGGAAATGGATGTCAAAGAGTTGGAGGAACGCAATGAGGACAGGGAGGAGACGTTTGAACCGTTAGATATCAACTGATTCTCACAACAAATATATTTTACTAAATGTTATCAATTAATGACTCTTTTTATA